CTAATTTCAGCTATCAGGCCTGTTGCTCTTCAGACCAGGTTTTCCCTGATGTCAAGCTGGAGGACTCATTCCTATTCCATATTCCAGAGACTGACAGGAAACAGCTTCCCTTTAAAACAGGAGCTGGGAAGATGGTCCCAGTGTGAACATGTTAGGCATGAAGAGAACCCAAAGACTACAATTAGTTTAAGTTCAGAAAATATATAAGTTCTGACCAATATACTTTCACAGGATACTACCACTGAAGGAAACACACACAACATCTCTTTGGATTTTTTCTTACAACTGTGTATGAGTCTATAATTACTCAAAACAAAATGTTTACATTTAAAAAGTTGGAGAGCTGGCTCAGCAGTTAAAAGCATTGTTTGTTCAGATGGCCTAAGCTCAGTCGCCAGCACTCACCTCAGCAGCTCTCCCGTCACAGCAGCTCCAGGGGACTGGGTGTCATCTGCCTGCTTTGAGGAACCTTGCACTCATGTGCCTGTACATAGTCACACATCAACACAATCTATCCTTATGATAAAAATAATTAAAGTTCTTTTATCTTGGTAATTGTTCTGAAACTCGCCGTTTTATTATGTTGGGTGGTATGTACATATGTACCAACTATAATGGAACTTATACTTCTTGTGTGCCTCAAGATTTATTTTATTTTTATTTATGTGTCTGTATGTGTTTAGATGGACAGGCATCCACAGAGGCCAGGAGAGAGCACTGGATGCTCTGGTTGTAAGTCCTCTGATGAAACGTGCTGAGGACTGACCTTGGTTTCTCTGCTCTCCATTACTAAGCCAGCCCAGGACCGATAACAGCACAGCAGGTGAGAATACTGGGAGGTGAGGCCAGAGAAGTGGGCAGGGGACAGATCAAGGTGAGCTTATTTACTAATTTTCTAAAAAATCTGGACTTTGCATTCAAAGCATTGGCACAACCAATGAGATTTCAAGAGAAATGACAAAATCAAATCAAATGTACCACTATAAAAACTCACTGAGTTCCAAGTGGCATATATTATCTCTACCGTGTCCACTTTTCTGTACCCTGTGGTATTACCACCATTTTTATTACACCATTTCACATGATGTACTTCCTACGAAACCTGGAACCCTTGACTGAACCAGGTTTTATCTTCGAACAGGTTACCACAACACTTTACCACAAGTGCTCAGAATATTGGCTGAGACGCCATCTGTACCCATAGCTGCACATGCTATGAGGAATGATTGTATGGGAACTTGCACTCAGAGAGCATGGCCAAACCTTAGCCTATGTTTAAAGACTCCCAAGCACACCAAAGGTCTTAGTCACTGTTCTGTTGCTGTGAAGAGACACCACGACCGACTGCAGCAACTCTGATAAAGGAAAGTACTTAACTGAGGGCTTGCTTACAGCCCCAGAGGCTTAGTCCATTATCATCATGGTGGAGAGCACAGAAGCAGGCATGGTGCTGGAGAAGTGGTTGAAAGCTACATCCTGGTCAACAGAGAGAGAGAGAAAGGCAGACAGGGACAGAGAGATAGAGACAAAGACAGAGGCAGGCAGACAGACAGACAGACAGACAGACAGACAACAAATGAACTGGGTCTAGCATGGGATCTCAAAGCCAACCCCCAGTGACACATTTCCTCCAAAAAGGCATGTCTTCTAATTCTCCTAATCCTCTTAAATAGTTCCACTTCCTGATAACCAAGCATTCACATATATGAGCCTATGAGGGATTTTCTTATTCAAAACACCAGATTCCATTCCCTGTTCCCCCACAGGCTTTTTGCCATATCATAATGCAAAAGTGGATTCAGTCCAACTTCAAAAGTTCCCATAGTCTAAAACAGTCTCAACACTATTTAAAAGTTCAAAGCCTCTTCTAAGACTCAGACAATCTTTTAACTGTAACCCCCTGTAAAATCAAAATAAAAAAGCAGATCACATATGGCCAGAATGTACATTACCATTCCAAAAGGAAGGGAACTGGGTATAGTGAGGAAATGGTGGGCCAAAGCAAAACTAAAACCCAACAGGACAAAGTCTATGCTCTGCATCTCCATGTTTGCTGTTAGAGAGTTCTTCAGATCTCCAACTCCTTTCAACTTTGTTGAGGCTAACATATTTTTCTCTGTTAGACTGGTTCTACACCCAGTCTGCAGTTTTCCTTGGTGAGTATCCCATGACGCTGACATCTCCAGCATCTTGGGTTCTCCAATACAATCCAGGCTCCACCTTCACAGCTTCACACAGTGGCCTCTCTGTGCCTCAATGCAGGGACACCCCGACATGTACCTGGCTTCAGTGTCTTTTCTTGTTTGTAAAGGGAGATTCCACAGCCCCTTTCTCATGTCCTTGACTCTAAAGGCAGAACCTTGTGGCAGAAGCTGCCAAGTTCTGCTGCTTGTAGGGCTAGAATTTGACCTCCTAGTTCAATTAACATTGTTTATGGTTTCCTTCACTGTAAGCTTCTTCTTTAATTCTTTTTCACAAGTTGGAAGCTAGGTGGGGTCTTACCCTGAAGTTACCACTCCTGTTATTCCATTTAGCATCGAGCTTTTCTTTAAATGTTTTATTTCCTTGAGCACTGGATTTAGCTCTGTTACACTTCCTGGAGCTCCCTTTCCTCCTCTAACGGTATATTTTCTTGTTTCTTTTTGTCAGCTTGTTTCTTCTCATTATAGCTCTGCATTCAAGTGATTGCTAATAACCACATGACACAGTCAATACTAGGCTGTCTTGAAATCTCCTTTACCAACACCATTAATCTGAAACACTTCAATTTAGCCTCAGGCAGACATTTTTTGGACAAGGGCAAGAAGCAGCCACATTCTTTGCCAAAGTATTGAAAAAATAAGCCAATTCCTAATATTCTTCCCTCTGAAACCTCTCGAGCTGGGTGGTCATATTCTACATTGTTCTCTGCAGCACTGCCTTCCACGTCTCTACTAAGATGGCCCCTTAAGCCCTGCTTAAATTATTCAACTTCTTTCCAAATCTAAAGTCCCAAGGTCCACATTCCACAACAAGCAGCAAAGGCAGGGCTGTCACAGAAACACCCCCACACACACTCCTAGTACCAACTTCTGCCTTCATCACTGTTCCAATGCTCTGAAGAGATGCCTTGACCACAGCAACTCTTACACAGAAAGAATTTGATTGGGGGCTTGCATACATTATCAGCATGGCAGGGAGCATGGGGCAAGCATGTTACTGGAGAAGTAGCTGAGAGCTACATCCTGATCCAAAGGCCAAGAGAAAGAGAGCTTTTGAAACCTCAAAGCCTATCCCCAGTGACACACTCTCTCCAACAAGGCCACACCTCCTGACCCTTGTAATCCTTTCAAACAGGTCACTCCCTGGTGACCAAACATTCAAATATATGAGCCTATGGGAGCCTTCTTATTCGAACCACTACACCATGTATCTAATAGATAAATGTTTTTCAAGGAATGGCAACAATAAGCTGGAGAAAGTATTATTTATAAATAGCTTAAGAAAAGTAAAAGAAAATAACTTTAATTCACATTATTTTCCTTACCAATACAGAAGCAGAGGTTTTAAAACCTCAACCTGAATGTTTTTCAAATGGTCTTCTGTCCACCGGGATCCATGCAGCAGCTTAAACTTCGATAAGATTTCTGCAGAAAGGTAGCGCTCCCCACTGCTCACAAGGTAGCATTTTTTCATTTTCTCAAGATGTCTTAGTTAAAACACACAGTTATATACACGTCAATCCAATACTCAACTTCCCAAGTGTCATTGCTTCAGATAAATAATAAACACTTCAAACCAACACTCATTACGGAGCACTAAAGGGTTGTACAGACATGGATTATTTCTCAGGATGTTTGCTTTTCTCAATAGGCTGGTCTTGTAAGGTTGTGCACACTCTAATCTCCAAAATTTGTAAATTTGTTACCCATTAAAAAATGCAGCTGATGTGGGTAAATAAGGACTAGAAAGAAATTAGCCTGCTACTCACAGACCCCAAGGGAACACTATAAATCCTTCTTTGGGAGACACCGAGGGCCAGGACCATGAAGATGTAAAAGGACGGTCATGTCACCAGAAAAATGCTCATGGCATGCTACTGGCTTTGAAGTTAGAGGAAGGGACCATAAACCAAGGAGTGTAGACAATCTCCTCCATAAACTGGAAAATGTAAAGAAATAGATCCCTCTAGAATTGTCACTTTAGGTCACTAAATATGGGTAAAATCTTAAGGTTTCTTGCATATGACTTCCCTGATATGTCTTACAAATATGGATCATGTCAAGTTTCAGAATCAACCATATTGTTGAACCCTATATGAAGCATAAGCTCTGTGATCCAAATACTTTTCTGATAACTGTAAAGAACCCAGTCATGAGGAGATCTACACCAAGCCCTGAAGAAGAAATGAGTCTAACCTGCTTCAGATTAGATCAGGAAACAGACGCAAAGACTTTCTTAAAGCAGTGCCCTGCTAGGATGAACCCTCACAGTGACCTAGAGAACTCGGAGCTAGGCAATGCAGACCTTCAGAAGAAACACAGTGCAGACAGACAGCTATGCGGCATGTGACTAACGGCCACAGGATGTGTGAGCCAGGGAGGCTGCTGGGATAAGAGAGCCACACACTTCCATTCATACCTGTCTAATATGAGTGTGGTCATATAGCTGACAATTGCTTTTTGCATAAAATGTTTATATCATCATGATACTATACAAAGTAGAATAATTTAAAGCAGGTCTAGAATTTGTGGGAAGAAACAGTATTCTACTGGTATCTTAAAGCTATGAAATCACAAAATTGTGATATCAAAATTTATTATCATAGAATAAAAATCTTTTTATCCATCCAAATGTATAAACTACATTTTAATACTTTTTGCTTGAATAACTAAAGCACATATTCTATAATTTAGTTTTCAAAACTATTGAAAAATAGAAATGAAAATACCTTTGATGTCTTCCAGGGTCCTTAAGAACTTTCAGTCTCTCTATGTCCATCCACAGCCACCAGTATCTCTCTCCTAGTGTGCCCTTTAGAAACTTCTTAAATCTTTCAAATTCCCTTCTGTTGCCAATGTCATAGGTCCTGTGAGAGACACACCAGTCCGCCCTGCTCTCGGGACCAACACTCTCACTCTTCGAACTTAAACTTACATTTTCCAATCTATCTTCTGAGATCTCCTCTACGGTTTCAGCAGGGGGTGAAACTACAGCCTTGTTGCTAGGTGCAGGCTGAACTTTATCGAATATCACATGGGATACTTTGTAGTAGTTGACATAGCCCGGAGTGTCACTAAGGGACTGACCCGTGATGTGCTGGATGGCTTCCTTCAAGACAAAGATAATATAGGCATTTAGGAATTCTTCAACAGTCGAGAAGTGCAGGGTCAGGTTTTTGTCTGGGTCATCCTTCTTCTCCAGGTATATCCTCAGAAGAGCCTGAGAAGGTGAGTCTTTCATTGATACAGACCCTTCTTCTTCATCCTCCAGCTCAGAGGCTGCTTTCGAGACTTTAGACAGGCTTTTTACTGTCCTGGGGTGAACTCCATCATCAAAAATCTCTGTATTAAATTATAAAAGGCTAACAGGTTAGATCTGAACACAAACTCATCCACTGTCAGAGAGGTCCATAGAGAGTGACAAATGGGCCATCACTGGGAATAAGTACATGAGCCAATAACTTCACAGGATTCTCAAGCCTTTTTGGGAGGCCATGAGGAAATTAACTTTGCCTTCCTAAAGACATACTAAATATTTATAAGAAGGCTTTAAAAACTGTATGCATATAATTCTTATCATTAAAGTGACACAATAACATAGGGACTTATAAAAGCTTAATCCCCTCTAAAATACAATTTTAGTTCTTATTTTCTCTTTCAGAAATTTGGTGACATATGAAAGTCTCACATGTGAATCTGTCCTCCCAACTTGATAGATGAGGTAACTGTCCTCAGGGTGGCCACTTTCTCTATCAGAGCCAAAAGAACAGAAACAGTTCGCTATAACTTTGTATTGAAAATGAATGTAATTCCCATTTTGGAGCAGCTTCTTTCCATTTTTATGAAAAGTTGACAACACCCATAAAGCTTCCCCATAGTAAAATTCATCTGCTTTCTAAGAAGAAAAATAGTCTAAACTCAAAAGTAGAAGACAAATTCAATTTTTACCAATGATAATGTCCATTTTGTTATTGCTGTTGCTGTTTTTGAGACACAGTCTTCTTACCTTGACTTTCTGAGGGTTGGACTTCTAGCATGTTCCAACAATCCCTGCCCGTTTGCTTTTAGGTCAGAAATATTGTACCTACTTTGTTGCAAAGACTTAATAGGAGGAATTTATAAAGTATGATAGAAAAAAAACAAGACAATCACTGGCTGGCTGCAGAAGGTGTGCCAAGCTCTAGGATAGCATCATAATATTATATAATTACATATATATATATACACCATGCAGCTAAGTGTTGGGTATGCTCATGAAAGCCTGCCATGCCAACACAGCAGAAGCTGAGAGAAAGAAGGATGACTGTGATTTCAAAAGCAGCCAGAGGTAACAGATCGAGTCTTCAGAGTAGACTAGGCTGCCTTTAGTCAAGTCTACACACTGTACTCCTGTCTCAGACAACAAAATCACACAGCTAATAAATATCAGAATCCATCTCTACTTTTATCATAATGACTTCTTGAAATAGTAGAAATGAACCAGGAGCGGTGGCCTATGTCTGTGACCCCAGCACACAGGCAGATGAAATAGCAGGATTGTGAGTTTGAAACTAGCCTGGGCTACATAGTGAGACTCTATTTGAAAAACAACAGCAAACAATAACCAAGGCCCATCCAAACAGCAGCAAACAATGAGTTGGGAGGGAGGTGCTGTGCAGATGAGTAAAGGCCGACTTTTCTTTGTCTGCTTACCAGAAGCTTTGGAAATAACTGGGGATGCAGTCTGGTGGTGGGGTATACAGCAGGGTAAGGAAAATGTTGATACTGTCTTCTCACACTCCTTGGCTAGTGTAAACCAGTCTTTTGTTTGAGTATAGGAGGCCTAAGAGGAAAGAGACATTACTTTAACATAACCTAAACAGGACTCTGCCAATTGACTCTCTGAAAAAAAAATCAGTATAATTCAATTTATAAAATATAATGCAATAAGAAAACTATTTGACTAAGAGAAAACTGTACTAAAACTTCAGTAGATGTGAAAAGAGAGGTGAGAGAGATGGCGCAACGTGAGGAGCACTTGGTGTTCTTCCAGAGCACCCAAATCCAGTTCCTAGCAGAGCGTGGCTCATGGCCATCTGTAATTCCAACTCTCCTGGCCACCATGGCACACACAGCAAACTGGAAAATCTAGGGAAAAAAGAGAGAGTGCCCAGTATCCCTCTCATTTCTCCTTTCCCCAGTTGTCAACTTGCTACTCAGTCTGGGACTTGTAGGAGAGACAGGGCTCATATGAAAGATCTGAGATCCCTTGTCTGTTATACACATTCCATGGGCAAGCTAGGCCACATAAGACAATGCCTGAAGGAAATGAAGGGAAATGTCTATGAAGTCACTGGTTCCTTGAGTGTGGGGCTCTAGGGCAGATCCGATGCCTCTTTCATTTACTTATTTATTTGCTTGGCTTTTGTACAAGAGTATATCTCTATATATTGCTTTGGATGGTCTAGGTAGCCCAGGCTGGCCTTCCTTTAACTTGAGATCCACCTGCCTCAGTATCCCAAGTTCTAGGATACAGCTGTGCCACCACACTTAGGTTACATCCAAGTCACTTATTATTAATAATTATAAATTCATCCTACATTAACTTGAGCCACTTCTGTATTCTAAAAACTACCCTAAGCCCTTGGAGAAAAATAATATAATTGAAGAATATTCAAGAATCCAAGTAAGACAAATTTGTTTGTCAATTTGTTAAGAGACATTAGCAGTCAGGCTAATTATCCACTCTAAGCTTTAAAGAAATGGGCCAGTTGTTTGTGTTTACATGACATAGCAAAGACTCAAATAAACATCATAGTGATCACTAAAAGTATATCTGTCCATTAAAAATAAATGCTACCTGTCCTGTCCAGCAGGACATTAAACAGGGGTCCGGGGAGGTCACCTGAAAGAGAGCGGGGAGGGGGAAGCAGGCAAAGACGAAAGGAATGACGACCTGTCTATAATCTGATCAGATCGTAATTTTTACTTTTCCACACACAGGTTTTATACACAAAAAGGCAGGATGTGGGGAAGGGGATGACACAGGAGCATAGGTGTTCAGGGGGAGTACAGATATCTTCCAGAACAGAGTGTCAGCTGGGTGAAGGTTCAGGGGCCAGACCACTGTGACTCCGCCTATGATTCACTTGTCTTTATCTAAGTTGGTACTATCCACCAAGGTTATCCACCTACAAGGCCTTATGACTAGGCTTGGCAGCCTTCCACTAAAGCTGTCTATATACAATAACTCCCAGCTATCTGTTTCAGTGTTTTTCCACAGAGACCCAAGACTTGGTGCTAGCAGGCATGTATGTCAGGCCTATTGCTGATTTTAGGCCTATGGCTGATTTTCGGCCTTCAGTGTATAAGCAGGGCTGCTCCCAACAGCTATCTAGTCTGGATTAAATAATCTGAGGACACAAATTTAAATTGTCAAAATTCAAAAGCTATGATGAATACTTGGCAGTTGAAGTCATAAGAGAAAGAACATCATCCCAGAGAATGGGGGTGTGGTGGTGGGAGGGTGTGGTGGTAAATCAGATTGATCTTCAGTGGGGACATGTCTGCTCTCACTCATCATCTGATTTCCCTATCAATAAACATTTCATGGTACCCTGATGTTTCTATAATACACAAGAGAAAAAATGTAGAAAATAAGTATAACAGAAAAGAGAGTAAGTCTTTAACACCTCATCAAGCATAATTCAGCAGGGAACAGTGAGCTGCAAATACTGCTCCGATAGAATTGCCCAGACTAGTCCTTCCGGTCTGAGCCGGCGCCCTGAGCAGACCTTGGACTCTGCACCCAGACCTACAATACCCAGAGGAAGCTCCCCTCCCAGGCACTCTAACACATCCAGGATCATAAGCTCTCAGGAGCTTGGTCACACCAGGATTTTAGGATCCCATAGGGAGCTTGACTCGCAGGAGCTTTAACACACCCAGGATCTCAGGATCACAGGATCACAGAATCACAGAGACAGCTGGACTCTGAGGATTTCTGACACAACAGGATCACAGGAGGGACAGGCTCCAGTCAGAGACAGCAAGGACAGGTAGCACTAGAGATAATCAGATGGTGAAAGGCAAGCACAAGAACATAAGCAACCAAGATTACTTGGCATCATCAGAACCCAGTTCTCCCAACATAGCAAGTCTTGGATATACCATCACACTGGAAAAGCATGATTTGGATTTAAAATCCCTTCTTATGATGATGATAGAGGACTTTAAGCAGGACATAACTCCCTTAAAGAAATATGGGAGAACACAGGTAAACAGGTAGAAGCCCTTAAAGAGAAAACACAAAAATCTCTTAAAGAATTACAGGAAAACACAACAAAATGGTGAAGGAATTGATCAAATCCATCCAGGATTTAAAAATGGAAATAGAAACAATAAAGACATCACAAAGGGAAACAACCCTGGAGATAGAAAACCTAGGAAAGAGATCAGGAGTCATAGATACAAGCATCACCAACCGAATACAAGAGATAGAAGAGAGAATCTCAAGTGCAGAAGATATCATAGAAAACATTGACACAACAGTCAAAGAAAACGCAAAATGCAAAAAGTTCTTAACACAAAATATCCAGGAAATCCAGGACGCAATGAGAAGACCAAACCTAAAGATAATAGGTATAGAAGAGAGTGAAGATTCCCAATTTAAAGGGCCAATAAATATCTTCAACAAAATTATAGAAGAAAACTTCCCCAACCTAAAGAAAGAGATGTCCATGAACATACAAGAACTCTAAATAGACCAGACCAGAAAAGAAATTCCTCCCGTCACATAATAATCAAAGCACCAAATGCACAAAACAAATGAAGAATATTAAAAGCAGTAAGGGGAAAGGGTCAAGTAACATATAAAGGCAGACCTGTCAGAATTACACCAGACTTTTCACCAGAGACTATAAAAGCCAGAAGATCCTGGACTGATGTTATACAGACCCTAAGAGAACACAAATGCCAGCTCAGGCTACTATACCCAGCAAAGCTCTCAATTACCATAGATGGAGAAACCAAGATATTACATGGCAAAACCAAATTTATGCAATATCTTTCCACAAATCTAGCCCTATAAAGTATAATAGATGAAAAACTCCAAAAAAGGGAGGAAAACTATGCCCTAGAAAAAGCAAGAAAGTAATCTTCCTTCAACAAATCCAAAAGAAGATAGCCACATGAACATAATTCCACCTCTAACAACAAAAATAACAGGAAGCAACAATCACTTTCCTTAATATCTCTTAACATCGATGGACTCAACTCCCCAATAAAAAGACATAGACTAACAGATTGGATATGTAAATAGGACCGAGCATTTTGCTGCATACATGAAATGCACCTCAATGACAAAGACAGACACTACCTCAGAGTAAAAGGCTTGAAAGCAATTTTCCAAGAAAATGCTCCAAGAAAAAAGCTGTAATAGCCATTCTAATATCTAATAAAATCAACTTGCAACAAAAAATTATCAAAACAGATAAGGAAGGACACTTGATACTCCTCAAAAGGAGAATCTACCAAGATGAACTCTCAATTCTGAACATCTATGCTCCAAATGCAAGGGCACCCACATTCATTAAAAAAAAAAAAAAAAACTTTACTAAAGCTCAAAGCATACATTGCACCTCACTCGATAAGAGTGGAAGACTTTCCACCCTTATCATGTGAAAGACTTAATATCCCACTCTCAGAAATGGACAGATAATGGAAACAGAAACACACAAGGAGAGCACTGTGACATACACACACACAAGGAGAGCACCGTGACACACATACAAGGAAAGCACTCTGACACACACAAGGAGAGCACTGTGACACACACAAGGAAAGTACTGTGTCTCACACACACATAGGAAAGCACTGTGTCACATACACAAGGAGAGCACTGTGATACACACACAAGGACAGCACTGTGTCACACACACACAAGGACAGCACTGTGTCACACACACACACAAGGAAAGCACTGTGTCACACACACACACACAAGGAAAGCACTGTGTCACACACACACACAAGGAAAGCACTGTGTCACACACACAGAAAGCACTGTGTCTCATACACACACATACACGCACAAACACACACACATGGAAAGCACTGTGTCACACACACACACGAAAAGCACTGTGTCTCATATACACACATACACACACAAACACACACACATGGAAAGCACTGTGTCACACACACACACACACAGAAAGCACTGTGACACATGCGCACATGCACACACATGGGGAAAGCACTTCTGTTTGCCTTTCTGGTAGAAGATATGAAAGGAGTCGGCACACACCCATGAGAGACCTGACTCTGCTTGGGTGGAGGGTTGGGGTGGGAGTGGGGAAGCGCTTTACAGCAATCTTCTTTGACACTGAACCAAAAGGTTTTGTTGGTACTGAATCATGCAAACTCTCATTTTACCTGGCCAAGAGAAACGTAGAACTTCTTCATAATCAGGTAATTGTCTTCTTCGGTGCTGGAGGGAGGTGGAGTTGGCGGTTTTCTCAGGATCCAGGGAGAAAGGTTTGTACCTACGATGAAATTTGTACCTGAGCTGCTCCATGTGGCCTGCGAGATCAATTTGGCTAACCTGTGCGTAGAAATCACAAGTTAGTGAGGGTGTACTCATGGGGTCCACAGGTTTTATCTGCATTTTATCTAAATTTTATTAAATTCTAAGCCAAGTTCAAATTTTAGTAATTTTGGGGGATTTTCCATGTTCGCACTTGAAAAGGGAAACGTCGGCCCCATTCTGTGTTTTTTAAACTTTAAAGATTCTTTTCTTTTTCATGTTTTGCCTGCATGTGTGGTGCTGTGGAGTTCATGACAAGGCATGTGACTCCCTGAAACCAGAGGCAGTGATGGCTGCGAGCCATCCTGTGGGTGCTGCAGGAGCTCGTACTGCTGAGATACCTCTCTTGTCCTCAGACTCTGTTTTAATGTCACACTAGCATTCCCTCTGTAAATCCCTGTACATAAATGAATGCCACTATAAGTGATGGGTGAATTTTAAAGTAAAATGATCAAAGAGATCCAATGGTAAAGCCTCTTTTAAAAAGCTGATTCTAGACAATGTTTTTCATCACTCTTATTCTATAGTTAAAAATCCAACCTCCATTCAGTATCACAAAAGATAACTTTATATGAAGAAAACAGACATTTAAAGGCACATAGACAGACGGGAGCAGGGCACCTGTATTCAAAGTAGCAATCGCTTTCCAGAAATGCCGGAAGTCTTTTCCTTTTGATCCAATTAATACCTTGTTCACGCTTGAGACACTGTTAAGAGAACATGGAAAGAGGAGGTCATCTTCTGGCTGTCACTGTAATGGCGTGAAGAGTGCTTGGCTAGAATGCATGGAGGCCTGGGTTCCATCCCAGCACAGACATAAAGTGTGGTGGTGCACTGCTGTGGTCACAGGCATGAGCATGGTTGGGCACTGCTGTGGT